TCAGCGCTCGCGAATGAAGAGCGCCCGTTGCACTTCCTGCACATGTGCGGATCCTTCTGCGTTTTGGGGCTGGAAACGCTCGTTCTGTGCGGTTTTCTTCCGCTGTGTCACCAAGCTACGCTTCTCTGGGCCTATTGCCACGCCAGCAAGGGCGTGGGTGGGTCGCAAGAATCATCGGTCGTCGGCGGTCACGAATTATGAGCGCCCGCTGCACTTCCTGCACATGTGTGGATCCTTCTGCGTTTTGGGGTTGGAAGCGCACGTTCGGAGCGTTTTTCTTCTACCGCGTCACCTGGTTGCGCTTTTCCTGGCCTATTGCCAAGTCAGCAAGGGCGTGGGAGGGTTGCGAGCATCATTGGTTATCAGCGCTCGCGAATGAAGAGCGCTCGCTGCACTTCCAGCACATGTGCGGATCCTTCCGCGTTTTGGGGCTGGAAGCGCTCGTCTGAGCGTTTTTCTTCTACCGGGTCACCTGGCTGCGCTTGTCTGGGCCTATTGCCAATCCAGCAAGGGCGTGGGAGGGTTGCGAGCATCATTGGTCATCAGCGCTCGCGAATGAAGAGTGTCCGCTGCACTTCCTGCACATATGCGGATCCTTCCGCGTTTTGGGACTGGAAGCGTTCGTCTGAGCGTTTTTCTTCTACCGGGTCTTCTGGCTGCATATGTCTGGGCCTATAGCCAATCCAGCAAGGGCGTGGGAGGTTTGCGAGCATCATTCGTCATCAGCACTCACGAATGAAGAGCGCCCGCTACACTTCCTGCACATTTGCGGATCCTTCCGCGTTTTGGGGCTGGAAGCGCTCGTCTGAGTGTTTTTCTTCTACCGGGTCTTCTGGCTGCATATGTCTGGGCCTATTGCCAATCCAGCAAGGGCGTGGGAGGGTTTCGAGCATCATTGGTCATCAGCACTCGCGAATGAAGAGCGCCCGCTGCACTTCCTGCACATTTGCGGATCCTTCCGCGTTTCGGGGTTGGAAGCGCTCGTTCGGAGCGTTTTTCTTCTACTGGGTAACCTGGCTGCGCTTGTCTGGGCCTATTGGCAAGCCAGCAAGGGCGTGGGAGGGTTGCAATCATCATCGGTCATCGGCACTCGCGAATGATGAGCGCCTGCTGCACTTCCTGCACATGTGCGGATCCTTTCGCGTTTTGGGGCTGGAAGCGCTCGTTCCGAGCGTTTTTTTTTTCGCCTGGTCACGTGGCTGCGCTTGTCTGGGCCTATTGCCAAGCCAGCAAGGGCGTGGGAGGGTTGCGAGCATCATCGGTCATCGACGCTCGCGAATGAAGAGCGCCCGCTGCACTTCCTGCACCTGTGCGGATCCTTCCGCGTTTTGGGGTTGGAAGCGCCTTTTCCGGGCATAAAATGTGAAGCAATGTTGCTCGGATCCTGGACTGCCAAGCACGATCATGTTTGCCACAATCCTAGATATTCTAGGATTAGGTTTAGGGTTTACATCTTGACTTGAGTCTTGAAGTCAGCCCAACTTAAATGTACCAGTATTTGCTAGCTTGATAGTATTGATGTAGGATGCTCATCCTAAACTTGTTGTGTGCATGTGAGGAAATAGGTGGCGAATATCGAGGATGCGATTCAGAAAGTTCGAGAGATGGGTTCTTCTGAAGGCGCGCCTCCATCTGGGTTCTTCCACTTTCTGTTCGTTTAATTTTGCCGATCAGAGCTGCCCTACGGATCCATAGCTCGATCTAGCTACAGGCTCCGCTCCATTTCTGCGTTTTCTGCCAACGCTGGTCATCACGAACTTAATTAGTCGAGGGGTAAGGTGAAAGCATGGCTGACGAAGCGAAGGCGAGAGGCAACGCCGCGTTTTCGGCGGGGAGGTTTGAGGAAGCCGTGGAGCACTTCACGGACGCCATCAAGCTCGCGCCCGACAACCACGTGCTCTACAGGTGCGCCCGACAACCACGTGCTCTACAGGTGCGCCTGACAACCACGTGCTCTACAGGTGCGTCCTCCCCGCCCCTTCGCCCCTCACGCGCTCACCTCACCTGCTAGCGCCGCATCTCGCGGTATTCTGTTCGTGTTCGTGTGATCTGCGAAGCGACCGCGCACATAGCAACGTTCACGGTCGTCGTTGGTTCTGCCAGTCGTCCTCGGTAGCTGCCGGGCCGTCAGCGTCAACCCCGTCAGTCATTTCCTCTGCCTTCTCCCCGCTGCTAAAGTCACCTGTCTCGCCTCTCGTCGCCCCCCTGCTCGCAGCAACCGGTCGGCGGCGCACGCGAGTCTGCACCGCTACGGCGACGCGCTGGCGGACGCGGAGCGCACGGTGGAGCTGCGCGCCGACTGGCCCAAGGGCTACAGCCGCCTGGGCGCCGCGCTGCACGGGCTGCGCCAGTACTCGCGCGCCGTGGAGGCGTTCGAGCGCGGGCTGGCGCTGGAGCCCAGCAGCGCCGTGCTGCAGGCGGGGCTGGCGGACGCCAAGGCCGCGCAGGCCGCCGACGAGGCGGGCGGCGAGGGGGGGAATCCGCTGGCAAAGGCGTTTCAGGTGAGTGCAAAGGAGAATTGGAAGAGGAAGGCGGGCGGGGATGCGCGTGCACCATAGCTGACTCGGCCGCTCACCCCCCCTTCCCTGCAGGGCCCCGACTTCTGGGCGCGGCTGCACGCGGACCCACGCGCTCGGCAGCACCTGAGCGATCCCGCGTTCCGCGCAACGGTGAGCGCCGTGCAGAGCAACCCCGCTCTGCTGAACGCGCACCTGAGCGACCCGCGCATGATGGACGTGCTGGGCGCCGCGCTGGGCATCAGCATCCGCTCCGCCGGATCCGCGGACGAGGCCGCCGCGTTCGCCGCTGAGGGCAGGGGGGAGGAGGGCGGCAAGGGGGAGAACAGAGCGGGGAAAGAGGAGAAGGAGAAGGAGAAGGAAGCGGGAGGTGCGGAGGCGATGGAGGAGGCGCTGACAGACGAGGAGAGGGAGGCGAAGGCGAGGAGGCAGGAGGCGGTGAGGGAGAAGGAGGCGGGCAACGCGGCGTACAAGCGCAAGGAGTTTGAGAGCGCCGTGGAGCACTACAGCAAGGCCATCGAGCTGGACGACTCTGACGTCACCTTCCTCACCAACCGCGCCGCTGTGTTCCTTGAAATGGGCAAGGTGAGATGCTGCAGACACTGAGAGTCTGTTTTTCTCTCTTCATGTTCTTTCAAATCAAACATTGCTTGCTGCGCTGCTCCCTCCTCACTCCCGTGCTCCTCGCTCGCCTCCAGTACGCAGATTGCATAGCAGACTGTGACAGGGCGGTGGAGCGGGGGCGGGAGGTGCATGCGGACTTCAAGGTGGTGGCGAGGGCACTCACGCGCAAGGGGACAGCGCTGGTGAAGCAGGCCAAGACAGCTCAGGACTACGAGCCCGCCATTGCCGCCTTCAATAAGGTCAAGTCCGGCCCCTATCCCCCTCACCCCTGAGTCGCACCATTGCTTGCGCCTGCCTCATCTGATTCCGTCGCTTCCTTCTTGTACAAACTTTATCTTCTCTTCCCGGTCCAAAATGCGGCATCATCATCCATTGGTCGTCTGCCTAAATAGATGCATTTCCCTTGTCTCATGGGGGCAGGCCCTTACGGAGCACCGCAATCCCGACACACTGAAGAAGCTCAACGAGGCAGAGAAGGCAAGGAGGGAGCTGGAACAGCAGGAGTACTACGATCCAGTCATTGCCGACCAGGAAAGAGAGAAGGGTACTACCTCTTATGCTGCTTATTTCGATAACAAAAAAATGGTGTCAATGACAGGTGTTGGTGGTGCATGTGTGTTTATTGTGCTCATTGCTCTTCATTCCGCTCGCCTATCCTCATGTTCCTCGGTGTTCTTCGGGCTCCTCACTGCTCTGCATGCTCCTCCTGGTTGATTGAACCTGAGCCGTTCTGTACCACCCTTCCCTGGTCCAGGCAACGAGGAGTTCAAGCAGCAGAAGTTTCCTGAGGCAGTCAAACACTACAATGAGGCCATTAAGAGGAATCCAAAAGACGTCAAGGTGTGCCTTCATATGTCGTGTCTTAGGATTCTGCTATTCGTCTTGTGCCTTGTCTGGCTCCTTCTTTCTACTTATCTGATGCCATTTTGACTCTGCTGTTTTGCTGTCCCTCCCTGCAATTCGACTTCGACACACCTTTGCTGAACCGCTTTTGCCATTCCACCGCCAGTCTTACAGCAACCGAGCAGCGTGCTACATCAAGTTGGGCGCCATGCCGGAGGCAAAGAAGGATGCGGAGAAGTGCATTGCATTGGACGAGTCGTTTGTGAAGGGGTACTTGAGGAAAGGCGCAGCGGAGTATTTCATGAAGGAGTATGACCACGCCATGGAGACCTACCAGCAGGGCCTCAAGGTGGAACCAGGAAACCAGGAGCTGCTGGATGGCATCAGGAGGTGAGCCACTGAGCTCGTAACCTAATGTGCCGGTTCTTTGGGGTCGAAACCCTTTTCTGATCCTATATGTTCCTCCTCGTTGTTTTGTCCTCATCAGCTGTGTGCAGCAAATCAGCAAGGCCAACAGGGGGGACATTGCTCCAGAGGAGCTTAAAGAGAGGCAGGCGAAAGCGATGCAGGACCCTGAGATCCAGTCCATTCTCACGGACCCAGTCATGCGCCAGGTGCTCACAGACTTCCAGGAAAACCCTCAGGCAGCCATGCAGCACCAAAAGAATCCCATGGTCATGGCCAAAATCCAAAAGCTGGTTGCAGCAGGGATTGTGCAAGTGCGCTGACTGTTGTTGTAGTAGTTTGTAGAAAACAATAGTGCGCTTATGGGAGGCGTAATGCTAGGTGTGCTCTACGGTAGTTGTGGTTATGGCAAGCCACTGGATATTCTAAAATCCGTTCCTGCAAGCAATCATGAAAGAGGTTTGCATTGTGATGTTACTTTTATGCCCAATCTGCTTGCAGCTGTTGATTATGTTGTGTGCTTGTCTACACAAAAGTCCATGGAAAAGTCATACATTTAACTCCTTCAAGACAATCAGTCTGACAAGAAATGTGGGGTGATGCATAACCCATCTACTTGTGAGCGTCTTTTCGCAGCTGCTCCAATCGACTGCTCCACTCGACACTATCGTTCTCAGGAACAATCCCACTATGCATATCCACACGTGGCCATTCTGTGGTGGGACCGATCGCAGCATTAGCTTGCTTCAGCATATCCAGCCGTTGGCTCCACTCAACTTCACCTGGAACTTCGGGCTCATCATTTATACTTGGGCTTGAGGAACCATGCTGTATGCAAGGGCTTGCAGCAACATTTTGAAATGTTGACGAGATTGTAGAGTCCGCTCCACCACTCAACGGCCCAGAAAATGAATCTGGCAAACTGCTGCTGACAGCTATCTCAACAGCGCTTCCAGAAACGATTGATGCAGTATCTGTTCCACGAATCATTTGCGGGACATGTTCATCTTTCCTCGCATCTTGGAGTATCTTGGCAACCTGCATGAGGGTTTCAAATGATAACATACACATCAGCCAGCCCTGCTAAGCTTAATATATCAACATACCTTATCCATAGTTGGTCGTTTCTTTGCTATGTGATTTACGCAATCCAATGCAACACGCCACACACACAGAGCCTCATCAGCATTGTAGACGTTGTTCAGTCGTGGATCCAGAATCGCATTTATGGACTCTGATCCAATTGTCTGTTGCCAGGCCTACAAGTGAAGGAACACATCAGATGACGGTAAGAACATGATAGGGTTAGCAGAACTTGCAGTCAAGCTGAAATCTATGTCCCAAATGGGTTTGCGTGAGTCATAGAACCAAGTGGAATCCGATGAAAGATTCAGACTATTTGCACAAACATTTTTGGATGTGGAGTTTCACCGCAATGACATCAAATACATACCCATTCTACAAGACTTTGGCCTTGAAACGTCGAAGCTGTGACATCAACAGGCTGTCTCCCTGTAAGGAGCTCCAGCAATAGAACACCAAAACTGCGTGGCATAGAGCAGTTTAGGAGACGACCTGCAGTTATCACAGCAATCGGGCAGTTGAGTGTTACCTGTAAACATCACTCTTTTCCGTCAATTGCCCTGAGAATGCATAGTCCGGGGCCAAGTAGCCAATGGTGCCCATGACTCTTGTAGTTACATGCTCAGAATCATCTTGCAACAAGCGTGCAAGGCCAAAGTCACCAACCTGCATGATCAGAAACAATGTCACAAGTTGGAACAAGGGATTTCAGTGAATGCAAACTGCCGTTCCAGACCTGAGCATTCATGTTCGCATCAAGAAGAATATTAGAAGCTTTGATGTCACGATGCACCACTTTTGGATAGCAATCATGGTGAAGATATGCCTGAAAAACACAGCATGACAAGGAAACGTCGCAATCAGTTAAAGACTGCTCACATGACAAAAGATTGGGTTTCAAGATTTCCACCATCAGCGAATGCCCGAATATTTGGGGAAACCTACCAAACCCTTTGCTGCATCAATTGCCATTTGAAGCCTTCTTTCCCAGCCAATGGGTGTGCAAGTATTACCTGGAAGTACTTTAGTTAGTGTCAACGTAATGCATGACAATGACGCACCACTTACTGACCATGCAGGTGGTGGTCGAGTGATCCATTAGCCATGAACTCGAAGACAATAAGTTCCTCTGTCTCCCCAATGTGGTACCCCAGTATCCGCACAAGATTCCGGTGATGAACTCTGCTGAGAATCTCAACCTGAAATTATCACAATGTTAAGCATGCCATTGGATGGAAAAGACGAGAAGAAAGTTTTCTTGCTCTTTTGTTGATCCGACAAGACACACCTCTGACTTGAACTCGTCCCTTCCGTGCAGCAATTTATGCCTGTGAATTCTCTTGACAGCAACAGTCTGACCACCTGCCAGTACACCTTTGTATACTTCACCGAAGCCACCACGACCGAGAAGGTTTTTAAAAGAGAAATTTAATGTTGCCTGCTGGAGCTCCTCCAAACTAAAATCGGTTCCCTTTGACTTCATTTTCTGCTGTGATGGATCTGACGATGCTCTGTGCCCTGCTGCCGCATGCACAAAACCAGCGGTCGTTGACGCTTCTGTATTTGGGGTTAGGTTAGATGATGTGGGAGAGCCTGAAACTGAGCCAGTAACACCAATTGCTGCCTGATCCCTTGATGACACAAGCTGGTCCATAGGCTGTTTCACATGCTGCAATACAAATTCTCCCTGCCGGGTATCCAGGTTTCCTGTTGAAGCTTACACGCATAAGCTACACGACCCGTCACAAATTCAATTGCGTATCAAATCCAGAATGAAATTCCCCATACCTGATACCGGAGCAGTCTTAATGTACCGCAGGTGCCGATGCCTCAGATAGTGGAATAAGGAAGACGACAGAAATGCAAGACCGCTGATTACAGGAGCGGCCATCCACAATCCTTCAGTTGTGTTGTACAACCCCCAGGTTTCTGATGTTTTTGACGATCCGTAGATGAGCAAAGCCTCTGCAACTGCAGTGCTTATCCTGCATCGAGAACTGGTGATGTTATGCTAGGGTATCCTTGCACACAATTGAATTGCTATACAGGTCACGAACCATGATGTCGCACAACAAGCATGGAGGAATACGCAATATCGTTTTGAGTAGAATAAGGATTTCTTCTTCGGCTTGATCATGTCCAGCAGTTGAGTTATGACCTGCAATGTTGTACTTTCATAAGGAACATAGAGAAAACACAGGCGGTCCAGGGGTCCCCGAACAAGTCTGCTTACCTCTAACACGAGTGTTATAGTGATTAAAGACATCGACGCCCAGGAAAGGGACATGCTGCTCTTGTCAAAGGGGAAGTTCTCAGAAAGGTAAGCGCGATTGTAATACGGGTCATATCCTTCATCCTTCAATCCTTGAGTAACATTGCAACGAGCGAATGGCCAGTTTGCAGCATTCGCACACCAGCGGCTGAGGCACTCGATTTCACTGATAAAAGTAGGACAAAAAATTACGTAAGGTGTTATTCGGTACGGATTAGTAAAAGTTGCTGCTCAAAACGCTGCAAACACTCACTTAGGAGCTCCCTGATTGTAGTAAAGCCGGCATGTCATTTGCTGTGCATAGTAATCGGTGCGGGACGGGAATCTGGCAGCAAGAATGCTAACAAGAACGGTGGAAATGGCCAGTAAGAGAGCTGCTAACGACCCAGATGCAACGTTCAGGTTCAGGCGAAATGCCTTGTCTGTTTGCATGGTCGCCATTCCACAACGAGAATTTCGAGAATGGCTGTTTCAGAGCAGGGATTCTAGAATTTGGAAATGACCAGACACTGGATTGTACCACTTGGAGGAACTCGAACGGGCTGTTTCCCATGATGGGTGCTCGAACCGGTTGGACGAACTTCACGAAAAAATGTGTTGACGCATTTCGTTGAGTTACAGAATGACCATCAGCTTTGTTGCGTGGCCAAACGGCAGTGGTCCAAAATTCCACGTCCCCACCAGGTTGCTGCCCACCTCCAGAAGTCTTGTTGCCAGAGGCCAAACCGAACCTTGCCCTGACCACAAGCTCCTCCTTCGGCCTTTGCTGAGAGCATGGCATACGCCACAGGCCGAAGACGGCCATCCCATGGCGGCGGTTTCGTCAGGCTCACCGTGGGATAACACCACACCACTTAATGGCGCAAAACTCTTGCGCTTCGCGTTGCATCCGCGGTGGTGGTTTGCGCTTTTCTCGAATCGATGGTTCTGTCTCGCGGCAGCGTCATGGGTGGAGGCGTGTTCAGGCGTCAGCTACATGTTCGGGCTGTACTCACAGAGCTTCAAGGAGACGCTGGGTTACAACCAGCAGATCCTCGACATGGTTGGCATGGCGAAGGACATTGGCGGAAACGTAGGGATCGTGTCAGGATTTGTTGGTGACATCGCACCCACGTGGGTCGTTCTGGTGATCGGTGCCGTGTTGAACGTGATTGGCTACGGCTTCTTGTGGCTCGTTCTGACGGGGCGGTTGGGCGGCGCGTGTCAGCCGCCAGTGTGGGTGGTGATGGCGTTCATCTGCGTGGGCACCAACGGCGCCACCTTCTTCAACACGGCAGGCCTCGTCACTTGCGTAAAAAACTTTCCGCACAGCCGTGGCCCTGTAGTTGGCCTGCTCAAGGTATCGCACGTTTTCACTTTTCGACACTGAATCACAGTTCGTGAATCGTTGTTGGCGCACCCAACCTCTCCCGCTTGTTGCGCATCCTCCCATCCTCGTCCCACCCACCGCAGGGCTTCATCGGTCTGAGTGGCGCACTGTTCACGCAGTTCTACCTCGCGCTCTATGCGCCCAACCGCGACGCGTTCCTGCTCATGGCGGCGTGGCTGCCGTCGCTCGTCGCCGTGCTCGCCACGCCCGCCATTCACCAGCTGCCACCCGCCAGCGAGCCCTCTGAGCGCGCGAACCTCATGGCGGTGCTGGCAGCAGGCGTGGGCCTGGCGCTCTACCTGCTCGCCGCCAGCCTGCTGGACCACTCCGTGCCCGTCACCTGGCACGTCAGCGCGCTCATCTCGCTCGGCGCGCTTGCCATCCTGGCGTGGCCTGCTCGCATCGCAATCAGTCAAGAGGTGGTCGCGGAGCAGCAGCGCGCTGTGCATTCCGCCAGGCTGGCAGCAGGGGAGGCCGTGGAGGAGGGCAATGGCAGTCAGGGATTGGCGCATGAAGAAGGGGGGAATGTCAGAGAAGCAGCACACCTTGGCCGCAGTGGTTCGGAGGTACGGCTGAGTGGCAAAGGAGCAGGGCAGGAAGGCACTGATAGGCGTGCTGTGGTGAGGCAGAGAGTGATGGGTGAGCGGCACACACAGGATGAAGAGGAGAGGCAGCCGTTGGTGGGCAGTGGCAGCAGTGGAGTGCGGACTGCTGCTGCACCACATGCTGCTCCGCTCAAAGCCAGAGAGAGTGAAGCGCGGTCAGAGCAACATGACCCCAGCAGCGATCACTCAGGAGCTGCTACAGCCTTTCCACAGGTGGGGGACGACCACACGTTGTGGCAGGCAGTGCAGACGCTGCCCTTCTGGCTCATCTATGCCGCCATGACGCTTGCCTCAGGGTCGGGCCTCACAGCCATCAACAACCTGGGGCAGGTGGGGCGGTCGCTGGGCTACGAGCAGCAGGCAGTGGGCATCTTTGTGTCGCTCATGAGCATCTGGAACTTCCTCGGCCGCGTGGGAGCGGGGTACATCTCAGAGCACTTCCTGCACGAGCGGGCCGTGCCGCGCCCTGCCTTCATGGCCGCCACACAGCTCGCCATGGCAGCGGGTCACCTGCTCTTCGCCTCCGCACTGCCTGGCTCGTTGTATGTGGGCTCTGCCATTGTTGGGCTGGCGTATGGGTCGCAGTGGGGCCTCATGCCTGCGGTGGCGTCGGAGGTGTTTGGGCTGCGGCACTTCGGCACGCTGTACAACTGGCTCACAATCACCAACCCCACCGGCTCCTACCTCCTCTCCGTCTGCATCGCTGGCTACCTCTACGATTACGAGGCAGAGCATGAGGCTGCCTCCTCTCCGCCTTTCCCCATCGGTCCTGCTCCTGCGCCTGCACCAGCGTCAGGAGGGCCTGCGTTGATGTGCCATGGAGCCCACTGCTTCAGAGTCACCTTCCTGGTCATGGCTGCTGCCTGCGTGGTGGCCTCCTGCCTGTCCCTGGTGTTAGTGGGCCTCACCCGCTCCCTGTACCTGGCGGAGTACACCCGATGCCTCAGCATGGAAGAGGCTGCTCCACCTGGAGTGCATGATGCCTCCAGCAAACAGGATGTGGAGAGGGCTGGTGAGGTGAAACCACAAGTCAGCCAGTACTGAGTCACTACGGTATTAGTGATTGGAAACACCTTGCTGAACACTTCATGAATGTTTGGACCCTGAAAGTTGAAATTGTAAATATAGGTGTAATTTTGCAGAGTGTATTGCACATCTCTGTTCATGCTGTTGGCAGCAGAGCCTTGCCTGCAGGGGCAGGGGTGATGTCAAATGACAGCTGCACGTCCCGTGCTTCCGCTGCTGCGGAGGGAGTGAATGGAATCTTGAAGTTGACAGCCTTGTACAGACACAGGTCGTCCTGCTGGCAGTAGTACACCTGGTGGGGTGGGGATGCAGAGAGAGCAGCACAAGATGATGCATGAGGAAAAGGGTTTTTGGCAAGGCAAGGTGGCAGTGGGGTGGGCGATGCAAATACGGTGCAAGGAGTGTTCGGTACCTTGCAGTGGACCTGCACCACCGAGCTGCTGCTGCTGTCAGCCGCTTCTCCCTGAGTGAAGTCCAGTGAGGCGAGGGCGAGCGAGCCGGATAGAGTGAGGTCACCGGCCTGCGGTGTGACTGTCACTGCGCTCCCTGCTTCTGGCAGCTCCACACTGAACTTGCTCGTGGCGCCCTGCTCGCACCACACGCACGCAGCACAGGACAGGTTGCACACCAATGCCCGGTGTCTATGAGGTGGCACGGAGGACATGAGCGAGAAACACTGCAGTAGCAGCAGGGGTACAAGGTGTACAGGAAGACAACCAAAAGCGTGAGAGGGGTGAGGAGGGAGCAAGGCAGGAACGGGAGCAGGGCGAGGCGCACAGCAGTGAAGTGGTAGTCGGCCGGGATGGAGAGAGCGAGCTGCAGCGTGCCCCTGGCGGCTGCCACTGGCGCCACCTCCACCACCTGCTCGTCCGCCTTCTGCCGCCTCCTCAGGCGCCGCCGCTGAGTCGAGGAAGAGGCCGCGGGAGGAGGGGGGACGGAGGAGAGGTCGAGAGTGGAGAGCAGGGCGGTGGGGGAGGAGGCGGATGGGAGGTGCAGGCAGCGAATGAGGCTGTTGTTGGTGTCGGCTATGAGTACCGTGCCTGGTGGGAGGAGGAGGGGGGCGGTGGGCGGAGAGAATGGAGGGGAGTGGAAGAAGAGCGAAAGAAACATGAATGAAGGATGTTCTGGGTTGATAATGTATGTGAAGCAGGAACAATAGGAGGCACAGTTGATGTAATACAAGCAAATGAAGATGAAAACAAGAGGGCGACTTCTCAGAATTTGGAAAACTTGAGTATGGATAAACGGCAATGCGGCATCTGCATGTGGTGCTTATACGGTGAGCACGAGGTCATACCATCTGGACCATGTGCCAGGCCTGCTGGCTCTGAGAGCTGCACGGGTGAAGCACAGGTGGTTGGTCAAGAGGCAAGCAGGCCACAAGAAAAAAATAAAATGGACAATATGAGAGGCGAATTAGTGGGAAGAAACATTCAAGATCGTGCACGTAATTGCTTTCCACACCAGCCAGGAGATCCATACCCCATTTTCCCCGCCCCGATCATAGCTTTGCTTGCCTGTGCCTGTAATCCCGGCCCGTCTCTGAAACCAGCTGAGCCCGTGCCAGCCAGTGTGACCACGGAGCCACGAGCCGGATCCACCAGCTTGATCTGCACCATGCACCATCAGACATGCCGTGAGTGTGACGGGCATGATGGCATGCGGTGTGGCATCAGGCATGCAACGAAACCAAGATACGGGGTTCAGAGGGGTTACATTGGGACATGGAAGGGAGTGGTATGATAAGCACATAGGAGGAAGATTATGCAAGGGCCAAAAACAACACGGTTGGTGCACCTTGTGGTTGTATGAGTCAGCAACAAGCACCGTGCCATCGTCCAATGAGAGCGTGCCAAGTGGATGCTGCAGGAGAGCTCTGGAGGCAGAGCCATCACGGTCACCAAACTGCGGAGCAGGGGGAGCGAGAGGTAGGGGGCCAGGGGTGAGGGTGAGGCGGCACACAGCATGCCAGGTACAGCCGGGCAGATGCAACAATGCATTGGCAGCACAGGTGGAGGGAGAGGCAGCAGCACAGTGGAGAGGCCAACGAGTAACAGGGGTATGAGAGGGCAAGGCAGGGGGCAGACCTTGAAGAGGTTTTCAGCGAAGTTGGCGTCGCCCCCGGCGATGAGTGTGGAGCCCCCCGTGTGCAGGTTGAGCGCCCTCAGCGCACTGCTCTCACTGTCCGCCACGTACATCTCCCTGCCGCCTGCTCACTCGTGGCGGCCATGGGGCGTGGGCAGGTGTGGGGGTTGGGGTGGGGCAAGAGAGGGTGTGAGGGACACGTTGTGTGAAGGCACTTGAGGTGGTGCTCTCACTGGGGAAGCTGCGTATCAGTCGAAGGGGCGGCACTAGGGAGAAAGGCAATGGTCAGCGTGTTTCAATAAAAGTGCATCAGGAAATGAAGCAAAATGTTTCGCATACTCGCCTGTCCTCCATGCCACACCTCAGCATGAGTCATCACTCCCAGCCCGTCCACATGCAAAATGATAAAGAGGCTGCTCACCTGGGGCCAGGGACAGCCCCGACGGCTGGGCATACGCCGTGTCAGAGCCCCTGGGGAGAGGAGGGTGGAGGGGTGGGGGTAGAACAGCAAGGAGCACGACGAGTCGTGAGGAGGGGGCGGAAGTAAGGGAAGGCAGATGGATGTGTTGACACCGCCATGGGGGAATGGCGCCTTTACGAAAGGCTTGCACTCACATTCGGCCGTTCTGGTTCCTCTCGTAACCCGACCCGCTGAACACCACACATCGCCCCGTGTCAAGATCGAACCGCCAGATCTGATGCTGCCCCGCCATGGCCACCATCACTGCTGCCCTGTCCGCCGTCAGCTCCACGTCCCACGGCGAGTTCAAAGCCTGCCAGGCATGGTGCACTCACGCATGCGGGGGGGCGGGGTTGAAGGGGTGCGTGATTATGCATGAGGGAGGAGACGCCGGAAGTGGAGAACGGGAACTGCTGGGAGCACGGCAGCAGGGCATGCAGCCACCATGGCAGCACATGCACACAGCAGCCTCGCCCCTCCTCGTGCCTGGCCTGGCCTCACCTGTTCTCTACCCCTGGCCCCGCCCTTGTAGTCCTGCCCCTTGCGCCCATCCCCTGCCACCGTGGTCACTGTCTCGCCCACCAGGTCCACTTGCCTGCCCGCATGCCACATGCCACGCACACACAGGCACACAGGACAGCAGGGGCGGAGAGGCGGGTAGTTTGGGGGAGTGAAGACAAGCACTCAATGGCTTTGCAAGCACGTGTGCAGGCAAGTGTGGGCGCAGCCATGTGAGCCTCTACCAACATGTGGCAGTGCGGCATGGCATGAATAACCAACATGTGGCAGAGCGGCATGGCATGAATAACCAACATGTGGCAGAGCGGCATGGCATGAATAACCAACATGTGGCAGAGCGGCATGGCATGAATAACCAACATGTGGCAGTGCGGCATGGCATGAATAACCAACATGTGGCAGTGCGGCATGGCATGAATAACCAACATGTGGCAGTGCGGCATGGCATGAATAACCAACATGTGGCAGTGCGGCATGGCATGAATAACCAACATGTGGCAGTTGGGCATGGCATGAATAACCAACATGTGGCAGTGCGGCATGGCATGAATAACCAACATGTGGCAGTGCGGCATGGCATGAATAACCAACATGTGGCAGTGCGGCATGGCATGAATAACCAACATGTGGCAGTGCGGCATGGCATGAATAACCAACATGTGGCAGTGCGGCATGGCATGAATAACCAACATGTGGCAGTGCGGCATGGCATGAATAACCAACATGTGGCAGTGCGGCATGGCATGAATAACCAACATGTGGCAGTGCGGCATGGCATGAATAACCAACATGGGTCTGTCATCTCCCATGTCTCCGAAACCTGCCTTCCTCGCTACACTCTTACCGCAGGGCATGATTCTCTGTGTCCGCCACAAACAGAAGGTTCCGAGAAGGATCATACGCCACACCCTGAGGCCTGTTGAACTGAGCCATTTCAAACGACCCGTCCACCAGCCCGTCGCCCGCCCCTCCTATCTGCGCCAGGAAGCTCCCTTGCAGGTCCGTCACCACCTGCACGCCGACACAACGCCACAATGGTCCCCAGTGGGCCGATTGGGGGGTGGAGGGTCAGTAAGGCGCGTCAATGTGAATTCTTTATGTGCAGCAAAGGTACAGAGAGAAAGGAGCGCAGCCGGTAGCAGGTACGCAAGGCGGAGCAGGGGGACGGACGATGCGATGATTGTTGGAGTCGGAGATGAAGAGGCGCCCGTTGGCCAGGTCCGACGCCAGCTTGCCGGGGAAGCGCAGCGCCGACGCCACCACGCGCTGGTCCCGGCTGCGCTCCAGCGCCAGCGGGATGGGCGCATCGCTGAGCGCGCCCTTGGCACCATAGTACTCGAGGGAGGCGGCTATGAGGTCGTCAAACAGCTGGCGGTTGCCCTCCCCCGGTACCATGGCGATGAGGCGCCCTGTGGGCGCCACGAGGGCCAGTGTGGGCCATGATGACACTCCCAGCGCCCTCCACATGAGCATGTCCCCGTCGTTCACCACCTGCCCAGCACACACCAAGCCACGCCCACCACACACACAATCAAGCCCACCACACAAACGTGAGGCACTGGCTAATGTTGTTCAGAATCTCCAAAGGCAGTCTATGGCCCAGGTGGTTGTGGTGCAGAGACTGAGACTGCGCGTTGCAGGGCGTTGAGGGAAGATGTGGGAGGGAGAAGCAGCAAGCAACTTTAACTGGGGGAGGGAGAAGCAGCAAGCACAGCATACCGGGTGGGCGACATCATATCGGAGCACGGCATTGCGGATGGCGTGCAGGTCCTTCTCGTTGTCAAACTTGGCCGAGTGCACGCCCACCACCACCACCTGGCGCCAGAGGCCCATGCACAGAACCGAGGGACAAGGGGACAAGCACACACGAGAGTGAAAATGTAACAAGGGGTTTCTCACATGCACGGCGGCATCCCCTACACTTTCTGTATGCACAGCCGGGACAGGACAGCCAGGAAATGCACAGATCACTCCTTTTCCCCTACTGGTTGGCCCTCGTATTTCTTTTCGAGGGCGGCGAGGTCTGGCAGGACGTGCATGCAGTTGATGCAGCAGTACGTCCAGAAGTCCAGCAGCACCACCTTGCCGCGCAGCTCCTGCTCCCACGCACAGAGGGGGGTTGGAATGCGGGGGTGGGGGAGGGGGTAGAAACGTTGAGGGAGAAGGTCATAGGTGGAATCTGGGGCTATGTGGAACATGTGGGGTGTGCGGGGCATGTGAAGTGGAAGAAGGAGCAAGGGCAAGGGGGGAGCTACGCACGCGGTCGAAGGAGAGGGGAGCGCTGTTGAGCCACTGCAGGCGCGGCTCAAAGTCCGGCACCACGTCAGCCGCACCACTGCTGGGTGTAGGGAGGGGGGGAGGGCAGAGACGGTAGGGAGGGAGGCAGCACACAGTTGGCAGATGTGGTGGTGACGAACGGGGCCTCTCCATGTCACAGCTGATGCTGCCTCGCCTTGTTTGCACATCTCATTTCCTACACCAAAACATCTCCAGCACCCCCTAAACCACCCACCCTCTCCGCATGGCTGGTGCGGTGGCATGCACGCACCTGCGGTCCAGCTGCTGGATGTACTTAACGAGCCCACGTGGCCCCGCCGCATTGGCGGGCGGCACGGCCGTGCCCGTGAGCATGTTGAGCAGCGCCTTGGGGGACGCGTAGGAGAAGGCCTGGGGGCGACGTGCACACAACGGGGAGGGGAGACAGGTACGGGGGAAAGGGGTGAGGAGGTGGGGAGGCGATGAGGTGGGGAGGGGGGTTTAAATGGGCGGGAGGCATGAGGAGAGGGCAGTGGGTGGAGATGGGGACGTTTGGGTGAGGGGAGGCAGAGCCTAGAGGGGGAGGAGGGGGAGGGGCGGACCTTGAGGTTGTCGAGAGTGAAGGCGGTGGTGGCGAGCCCCATGGCCAGGCTGCTGTACCGTATGGCGTCCCGCCGCGTCACCCTCATGCTGCCATGCCGGGCGCGCGCACAGCACACAGGCGGTGAGAGGGTGTGAGCTTGGTGAGTGCAGCATACAGGAGTGTGGTAATGGCACACCCTCCAGTCCACGCACCCACCCTCCTGCCAAGAAACTCACCCGCCTGGCAGGGGAAGCGGCTCATCTATGGACGCCCACAGCCCCTTGCTCTCCCCTGATGCAGCAGGCGCAGACAGTGATGCTGCTGGGGCTCCCAGGGACAAGGGCGAGAGACGATGAGACGAGGACGTGGACAAGGTCAGAAACAATACATAATGTCGAACATACGGATGGTGTGAGGGAAGAGATGATATGAAAGAGGAGATAGACAAACAGGCAATGTGGGTACAAGGAAGTGAGCGTGAGGCTGAAGGCAAGGCAATTTATAACATAATGCGAGTCGAGTCATCATTAGCAGCATCGAGCTGCTTGGCAGGACGCACCAGATCACAGCTGCACACTAGTGTCACATGGCTATGGCCCATATCTACCCAATACTGCAGGAAAACTAGGTCCGCTGCCCGCTACTGTGCACACAAGGCTGGTAGCTGCAACCGTACTGCTCAATGCTAGCAAACAAGCAAGCGACAGGGGTGGCCTGCAGGAGACACAGGCTGGCTACGAGCTACCATCAGCTGTGGCAGCCGTGGCAGCAGCGCCAGATGAGCCGTCGTCTTCATCTTCATCTTCAGGGTAGCGCAGAGAGGTGATGTCAGCCACGCTGATGTCAGCGATGTCTCGGCGAATGAGAGCGGGGCGGCCAGCGGCAAGGCTGGGAGCTGACAGGGTGGTGGTGACAGCTATGGACCTGGTGGGGGGGAAGGGTCGGGGGAAAGGGAGTGGCAAGGGATAGGGGGAGTGGGGGAAAGGGGAAGAGGAAGAAGGAAAATGGGGGGTAGTAAAGGGCAACCAGGCAGATGTGAGTATGCAAGGAAGAGCAGAAGTAACAACAATGAAGTTTGTGTGAAAGGAAAGGATCATGAGGTGTGCAATTTTCTGCGTGGAGAGTGCAAAGAAACATGAGGGAGTGAGTGGTTGAATTCACCTTCTCCCACGCCTCTGCTTTCATGTAATCATGGAAGCATTCCCTCACCTCACCGCGCTCATGTCAGGCCCACCCACCTCATGCCAGCAGCTGTGGCTGCCTGCACACCAGCGAGAGCATCTTCAATCACCACACACTGCGGGGCACGGAGACAATTCATTACGCGAGCCAGTGAGACAGTAGCAGTGGAAGAAACACGCGGATTCAGCCTGAAATACAGCAATAACGACAAAAATCCTCCCTCCCGTACCCGTCACTGCCTCTTACTGTCACCATCTTCCCCAAGGAACGGCCCCCAACCAACCCCAAGCCAACCTCACCTGATCCGTGGGCACGCCCAGCTCCTTGGCAGCGGCAAAGAAGATGTCGGGCGCCGGCTTGAGGCGCTCAAACTTGTCCGCCGATACTATGGCGTCGAACCTGGAGGGGTGGCATGGGACAGACAGTGGTGGGGTGAGACGTGACACTCAGGCTCGCTTCTGAACCCCCTCATCCCCACCTCTGTTGCGTGTACCTCCCAGCCTTGATGCCCCCTCTGAAAAGCAAAGGAATGAACTCTCCCCCTTCACATCACACACGCACCTGTCTTGCGGGATGCCTGCAGCTGCGAGGTTGGCGTCCACCTTCACTCGATCCGCACTGGACGCCACAGCTGTTCTCAGCCCTGCCGCGCGGCACTGGGGGTGAGAGAGAGAGAGCGAGGCCGAGGGAGGGCATAAGTTGGGGATGACTGACAAGACGGAGAGGTGGAGCATGGACGATATTGTTAGATACATAGCATACTGGATGATAGAAGGCCGAGGCACACGCAGGGGACATCCAACGGAACACATGATGAGGCCATAGTTGCTAGAAGGTCGCTAAGATGGTCCATCGCTTGAGTCCGCAGCCTCTGCAATGGAGACTGTTAAATCCCCTCACTGGATCACAACCCCCTCCACTCCACTCTGTCGCTCACAGGCACAGGGGCGTGCGCCTCACCTGCTCCACTAGCTTGAGCGCACCGGGGAAGCCAATGCCCGAGTTGGGGCGCGCGAACTGCAGGGGAGGCGAGACGGGTGGCGTGCGGGAAGGTGAAGACGATCAATGTTATTGCTGACGCCATCACTGAAATTGATCATAAATTGATCAAAAATTCAGGTCTAGCAGGTGTATGCTGAAATTGACTTGGAGGTCATAGCAGAGATTATTTGTGGCAGGTCAAGGTTGAGTTGAGACTAGGTCTGACCCGGTCAATGTAGATGTCGAAGAATCTCTTCTTGGCCTTGTCTGTATCAAACCCCTCCACTCCATACACCCGCGCCACACCGCCCAGGAAGTTGGCTTCACCTGAAACGAGAACAGAAAATCAGCTGAATTCACCCACTCTGGTTGCATTGCACTGATTGCTACTGCTCTCATTATCAGGCACCTACAGGAACTCCTTCACCAAACAGAACCTGGACATTCCACATCAATACGGTGAATTCAGAAGTTAAGTCTGGAGGAATTTTTTTCACAATTCGATTCACTGGCTTAGGGTAGCTGCCACGCCTCACCAGTTCCCATGAAGGGGACGAAGTCTTGAGCCGTCACGGCCACGCCCATCTCCGCGAAGAGCGCGACGGCGGCTTCGCGCGAAGGGTCCTCGCTGTCGCACAACACGCCGTCCATGTCGAACAGCACCGCGCCCACCCGCGGGGCCGCTGCCTCGCCCGCTCCCGCACCCGCGCCTTCCGCGGCACCGCCATCTGCGGCAGCGGCTTTCACCGCCAGAGCCCCCCCTCGAGGCGGTGCTCGCTTCTCCAGCGGAGCTGCGATGCCTGGTAGGTGAGTGAGTGGCCAGGCCGCGGAATTGGGTTCGAAATGGCACGGCGTGGTAAAGAAGGCGAACGTTGCATGTTGGCTACATCCACTATCAGGGAGCATTGCTCCTCCAAACGTGGCTAGATTCACTAGCCTTCCATCAGACACACTCCTTGACAGAAATCATATTCTAATTCTGTAATTGGCTGTTCATACATACAGGGGACTCCCTGTCAAGGACTAACACCGAGCATAGTAGCATTACGTGCACAACAGGCCGTACTGGCCGAGCCTGGCTACCGGGAGTCGGAAATTGATCACACTCAGGCCTAAATTGGATTTATCGGGACCTACCAGCGCTCAGAAGCGAGGCAAACGAGAGATGTCTACCCCGACGCCTGTTGGACAATGCATGGACATTCCTTCCATGTGCATTCGGGTTCGCCTGATTCAAGGCACGCGGTACATTACTACTCAACCCTCTATGGTTGTTAGAGCAATCCGCGAGCAGCGGTGTGGTAACGTGGAATGCGAGGGAGGACGCCATGGCTGCCAGCAGTGCTGATCAGGCTAACACCTGGTGGGAAACTATGGAGAACACACACACCAATTCAGTGGAGAGCAGTGGCACAGCAACAATGAAACCGAGGTGGTGGCGAACGAGTGGCGACATCGAGGTGCTTCGCAGGAATAATGCCAGCCCTCCACGTGGTCGGTTGTTGACCACGTATGCCTAAATGTTACACAGCGATCCCGGCTTCTGGATTTCAGACTCTCTAAACCATAATGTTTTACCTTACAATGCATGGCATAATGCACCAAGGTAATGGATGACTTACAAGCTTGCTCTGTTAATGCGGTCTTTGTAGAATCAGTATAATGCAGCCAACAATACATCCTTTGAGTAGTTATCATATGGTGAAGGAAAGCTTTGCCAATGCAAGAATGTGTCAAATCTCATGGCTTCGGCCAATCTTTGGTCTTTGGGGTGATGGCTCACTGCCTATCTTGCTGCTAGCGGCTCCTCCCGTCCAAGTGGACGACTTGGGAACCCTATTCTGCGGTTCCTTCTCCTCCCCTGGTTTCAGCAGCTCGAACTGGCACAGCAGCCGTGGCCCCTCTGCCTCGTCACCTTGCTCCCCCACCATTGGCCTGCCCTTGCGGTCGTACAGCGGCACGCAGCGAAAGCCAGGCTTCAGACCCATCACTGGCAGCACCACCTGCCCTCCAAAGTCGTCCTGGTACATATTCTTCTCAAACAGCTGTGGCACGGAGCAACAGAGCACAGGGGTTGAACAGACACCAGACCAAAGTGCTAGGGGTTCACAGCACAAAGTGCACATGCAATGACGATGAGAGTACAAACATCAAAGGGCATATGTAACAGAGCTAAAACACTCCATATCGTTCGCAATGCAGAGGGGGGTTAGAACAGCTCACATAGTCAAAAAATGGGTAGCAAGATGACGAAAGGCCCAGAACTTTAACCTGTGTGGTACCAAGGGAGGGCCACAGGAAGAGAGAAACTTGAGCTCACGGAAAAAGGAATGGATGCACGATACAGCAATGAGGGAGGCCTGGGGAGGGGGGGAGGAAGGGAAAGGGGGGAGGGGCGGAGGTAGTTGAAAGGGGGACGATGGATGAAGGATTACGATCTTTCTTGAAAAACGGCCGGCAGGGCAGAACAAAGTCATGGAGAGAGAGAGCAGGTGCAGGGGAGCCCAACGGGGACTTCAAAGCAGACCTCAAAGCAGAGCAGGGCGAGGTGGGGGAGGGTGAGGGGGAAGAGCAGAGGTGTGTCGTCCCAGCAGGGGTTCCACTCGCCCACCCGGATGTCCAACCGCCTCTCCCCCACGTCGGCCGGCGCCCCCTCCACCGCCACCTGTGCGCCCCCCGTGCCGTTGACGCGGGAGAAGGAGCAGGGTGAGAGAGGTGTGCACACATGTGGTGCATGGTGCATGGTGGATGGTGCATGGTGGATGGTGCATGGTGGATGGTGCATGGCGTGCACAGGGGAGGGTGAGGACGAAACACTCAATGCAAGGCTGAAAGCCACTGACCGTACATCCCTGTGGCGCTGGGCTCATGAGACACCATTGCCATGCCATGCCATGCCATGCACGCACCCGGCACAGCAGGCTGGGCCCGCCAGCATCGAAGTTGTTGTGGGAGAAGCGCGTGTACCACCCCGTGCCCAGGATCACATGCACCTGCCACCCGCACACACACGGGGGAGAGGGGGAGAAGGAGGGGGTTGAAGAGAAGGCACACAGCAGAGAGTGCCTGGGTCAGAGGCGGAGCGGTGGGTTGGGTGCTGGTGCACATGGGGATGGCGGCCGTGCTGGGTGGGAATGAGCGCAGCACATGGGCCCAGCGGACAAGTGATGCATACTGTACACATGCTCATGCCATGGCCGGTGTGCGAGGGTATGGAGGGGCGGCTGCACGCACCCTGAGAAAGAGCTCCACGGGGCGCACTGCCTGGGGGTTGTACGGCACACTCTCCTGCCCCCCGCCCCCTCTCTCCCTCTCCTGCCCCTCTGCCTGCCCCTCCACGGCCCCCATGAGGCAGGCGGGCTTTCTGACGTAGCCACAGGCGCCGTTGGCGCGGAAGAAGCCGTGCACGAGCCACAGCGGGCGGCCGTACCCCTGCATGTTCATCGCCACCATCTGCGCCCCGTGCAGCCACGCCTATAGTGCCGTGCCCAGGGGGAGGGACGCGCGGGTGGGGTGGGTGGGGTTGGGAGACACTCGCATGCGTGTGCACATGTAGATTTTTTTCAAGTGCAAAGAATGAAGCGGCAACGATGGGTGGTGGTGGATGGAGGGGCAGAAGCAGCACCTGCATGGGGTTGTAATTGGATGACGTGACTCGGAGGCCGAACGGGTAGATGCGCAGCAGATGGCGCTGTGTGAACCTGAGCAGGGACATCAGAGAGGGAGGGATGATGGAAGACGGGAAGCCAGTGGGGGGAGTTGAGAGGGGTGTGGGTGGGTGGCTGGCTCGCACTTGCACCACGTCTCACCACAGGACACAGGAGACCTGTGCGCATGGGAGAACGGTGCGCATGCAACATAGCTCTAGAATGAACTCCTCTCCTGCACACAGTCCTTCATATGCCTCACATAGACATTGGACGTCCATCACGCCTCCGTCCCTCGCTCTTCAATCCAATTCTCTGCAGTCGTCCGCCCCATGCAAAACAATTCCGCCTGTCTCTTGCATGGCACGCACCTGAGCAGCAGGTGGGGCGAGGAGCGCGCAGCGGTGGCGAGCTGCGTCTCGGACAGTGAGATGCGGCGCACGCCCTCGCCGTGCCCCGCGGTGAGCCCCTCCTCCACGCTGCCGCCCTTGAGCTTGCCGCCCGGGATGGAGATGAGGCGGCGGTACTGCGGCACCTTGCCTGTCAGCGCGTCTTCCGCTGCCTCCTCCGCCGCGTCCTCCTGCGTCCACTGCACCTCCACCTGCCGGGCAGGGAACATGGAGGAGCAGCAGGAGTGGGGGCGAACAGTAGGAGGGAAGGTCGGCATTGAGGGCATGCCTGTGGCACGTACAGGAGGGCAAGTTCTTTCAAAACTGGGTCACAATCCGCGTGCAAACCACGGGAACGGGGGGGATGCAGAGAGGGGCACGTGGAGCGGGCGAGGCAGTACGAACCTGGTGGAGGTGCGTCTCGTCCACCTGGTGCAGCTGCAACGACCGCCCCGACCACTGCCCACTGCTGTGCCCCATGCTGTGCCCCATGCTGCCCCACCCCAGCCCACTGGCACTGCCTCGAGACGGACTCCCTCTGATGCGCCGAGAAAACCCTCCTGACCCGCCCACAGGACTGCCTCTGCTGCTGCGCTGCCTGCTGCCCATGCTCAGCGCCGCCCCCAGCGCCACACTGGGGTCAACCCCCCCATCCTCGCCCCCCTCCGCCGCCACCGGAAAGGAAAAGGACTCCCGCCCCCCCCGCGCCCGCCCGCTCCCCCCTTCTGCTGCCCCTGCCTCCGCGCCACTGCCCTCCCCCGCTGCTCCTGCACCTCCTCCCCTTCCCCCTGGGTCATCCGCCACCTCCTCTATGCCCGATAGCTGGCTGATGCTGGCCGGTGCATGTGAGTGTGGTAGAGGATGTGCCACATCAGCAGCAGCAGCACCTGAAGCCAGCGTTGCAGATGATGACCCCTCTGCCAGGTCTCTGAATGATAGCCAGTCCGTCTGGCCCCGTGCCAGCTCAGCACCATGGGAGTTGCATGCCACGTCAGCAGCAGGTAGAGCGCGAACCACGCCATTAACAACACGGCCACTTGTCACATCACCCGATGAAGAAGCGCATGCCACATCACCAGATGAGGAAGCGCGTGCCACATCAGCAGGCGAGTCGACACGTGCCACTTCAGCATCACGACCACGTGGGGACATGCAACGGGGCGAGCATGCCTCAGCCCCCGCAGAGTCCCGGAAGGATCCTCCAGGGGCAGGGGCGACGACGGTGGAGAGCTCCTTGGGTCCCTTGGGCGGCTGTGTGGAGACGAGGATGCGGCGGCGCAGCGCGTAGGGCGAGGGGAAGTCGCCCTGGGGGGATTCGTCCTCGGGGATGTACAGCATGTCGCCCAACACCTCACACATCGCCTGGGGGGGTGGAGGTGGGGGTGGGAGGGGCGAGGGTTAAAGAAGGGGAAAGTGGGTTGACAGTGGGTTATGGGTATGGGAAGGAGGAGCAGGGGGCTGTGGTGAGGAGGGTGAGAGGGAGATGAAGGGGCCTGGAAAGAAGAATGGACGATAAAGTGCAGCAGCAAGAATGTGGGTGGTGTGCGATGGAAGGAGGGTACAGCGTGAGCGAACACGGGCATGGCATGCATCCAGCAGCGCATTGCGCATTGCTGCTGCCTTCCCAGATTGAGCGTGCCTGCAGCCTACCTGAGCAGCGATGGCCTGCAGAGGCGGAGGGAGGTGGTCCTCGAGGGTGATGATGACGGGGTAGTCCGACACCGCGAATGCATGCTCCTTTATCGCCCTTATGCACTCCGCAAACCCCACCGGCCGCGTCAGCGTGCTGCATGCACGGACCAGGGAGGGGCGAGGAAGGGAAGGAGGGGAACGTTGGGAACGGATTCCAAGAAAGGATTGGCTTGACTATGCAACAGGGCGGGCAGGGGACCCACAGCCTCTTCCACTCTCAAGCACTCGAGCGACTTTACCATCACATCCCCCACAAGCCGTCCTCTCACTTGCCCTATTCGCTTTCACCCCGAGTGACCCCTCCCTCCCTCTCGCTCTCTCACCCGCCGTGCATGACCACTCATCTGCCATCCCACTGTCCTCTCACCTGCCACCCCTTCCTGCTCTCACTCACCCACCATGCTCTCTGTCGCTCACTCTCTCACCCGCCGTGCATCACTCACCCGCCGTGCATGACTCACCCGCCGTGCATGACTCACCCGCCGTGCATGACTCACCCGCCGTGCATGACGAGGATTTCGGACTTGTCGCTGGAGGGCCAGAGGTCGAGCTCGATGACACGCACACCACGCCGCAGCGCCTTCACGATGGGCTTCACAGAGCTGTCGCTCGTCAGCTGGTTGCCCTTCAGGTACGAGTTGTGCCCCGTGTATATGTAGTAGTGCGATAGTGGTAACCGCATGTCCGCACTCACCTGCACCACACCCCACCGTGCACCACCCAGGCAGAGGGAAGACGGGGAGAGGGAGGGGAGAAAGGGGGAGAAGAAGGACTGAAGGGCAGAGGGAGAAGGGGCGCGGTTACTGATGGTGCGTGCCCTGGAGCTGCACACTGCCTCTACCCCCTACCTCTGCATGCATCCACCCACGCTGCCTGACCCGCCTCACATCCTCCTCACCCACCGTCACCCGCTCCCGGTTCCCCCTCCGCCCCCATTCCCCCTTCCTCCAGCGCGCAGTACCCGGTTGGCGAGGGCGGGAGTGAGCAGCGGGGCGAGCAGCACGTGCAGGAACTGGTCCGCGTTGGGCTCCGCCTGCGCCTTGATGCGGCTGCCGCCCAGCGTCAGCGAGTACCGCGTCAGCGTGCGCGAGTGCCGGTGCCCCTGCGTCTGCGCGCGGTGCGAGCGGCTGCGGTTGACTTGGGGGATGCCGTCCGCGGGCTTGGCGCTGGACGAGGGGAACGACAGCAGCAGGTTCGCCATCGGGCCGTGCAGCACGCCCTGCGCCCACACGGAGAGTGGCGGAGTATAATTCACAGAGAAATGGGGGGAGGGGAGGGGAGGGGAGCGGAGGGGAGGGGGAGGGGGAAGGGGGGAGAGTGGCGTGAGGGAAGAACTTGAGCAACGCCTACTTTTCCCCAGCGCACCTATTCCCCCCCGCCGCCCCCAAAACTCATCCCCCCCAGCAGGCGCGCACCTTGTCCTGCTGGAACTCCTGGAAGAACTTAAGCAGCGCCTTGCTCGTCATGACGCCGTTGTCGTCCGCGTACTGGTCGTACGCACGCTGCACCATCGCCGGCACGGCGGGCGGCACGCCCTCCGACTCGCCGCCGTGTAGCACGTCGAGCCAGCGCGACCACGCGATGCCCATGCGCACCCCGCTACAGCACGCCAGCTTGCATGTGCAGTTTCGTACACGCAACGACCGACGATGCTGCTGCTCGCGGTATGGCGGACATCCAGAATGGCCTCAGGTCAGGCCGTTAACAAATTCGCAAATGATAAAGAATTGAAACGCTTCTGACTGACTGTGATAGAGGAATCTATGCGATGAAGACTACCAGAAGGCCGGAAGGTGAACCTAATAGTTCTTCATCTTTCCGTTACTAATACGCAAGCCTGTCAAGGACACTGTAAGTAGTAAGAGGCCCAATAGCACTAAACGCGTTGTGAATCTGACGATGACGATGCGATAAAAAAAACGACGTGCGAAATTTACTTGGTTTGGCTGTCAGGCCACCACCACTATTCGCGTTAGTGACTGATCAGAGAAGACACTGTTGGATCGTCAGAGACCAAATCGACAAACCTCCACCAACAGCCAGGGTGAGTGCTACTAACGAAACTGCTCTCGAATCCTCAAATCAACGTGAGGTCATGCAAGTCGTACTGCATTTTAGTTTGCGGAAGTCATAACTATTGCCGTGTTACCCTTTCTCGAGGTTGTCTTGCCACGTTTCGCGCACGCGAATCATCAGAAATGCACGAGCCAACCAAAAACAACCAAAAGAGGCTCATCAATTGGCTCAATCTGGTTGCCACGCTGTGCTGGGCAAATCGTCCTGCCAGCATGGCAAGGGCAGCGATATTCCAAGTCACTCCGCGAAAACCATCTCCACCGACAAGGAATTGGATGAAATGACAACGATCAGAAGATCTCAGCATTTCCGCTTCAGTTCTCCAGTGCGAGAAAACGCCTGACGAGAAACTTGAGCAAGGAATTTGCCACAGATTGCTTGCCAACACTTCTTTCCGGTATTCTTGTCAGCCAAGCAGGTTCACCGCCCAGTTCTCTCGAGGCGACGCGGACACATTGCGTCCCCGCGAACTCAGGGGGCGCATTGTCACGATGTCGATATCCCGCTCGCTTGCCCTCGATAGAGTCACTCGAATTGCCTCATTATCGTCATTTTCCGTCAGCCAACTAAGGTGCTCGCCGGCCAGTTGCGTTTCCTCAACACGACACTATCCATCGCGGCCTGCTGGTGAGATAAACTCCAAATCCATGCGCGTTCCACTCCTTCCGCGGCTTCCCTCGCCATGTCCCAATGCATCCTCCCGCGTTCCGCATTGCTTTCCCTTCCTTCGCGCAGCTTCCCTGGGTCGAATCAACTCAACGGACAAGGATTCCTCAGCCAGCTGGGACTCCCCTCTTTGCCAGCCGCTCATTGCCGCAGGACTGGCAGCGGCATTGCTGGCCTCCGCCCCCCGTGCTCTTGCGGAAGCCGCTGTTGCTGCCGCTGATGGCGCAGCGGCTGGTTCCGCCGCATCAGCAGCGGTGCAGGCGTGCGGGGAGCTGCTGGGCGGGGCGGACTTCAACACTGTGGTGGCCGTGACGTGCGCGCTCGAGTTCATTGCGCTCACTGGCGCTGCTGTGGGAGGTGAGAAAGGGGGGGGTATCACCCGGGGGAAGTTATCAAAAGTGGGTGACACGCTGGGCTGTGTAGGTCCACTGTACACACGTCGCTCGCCGTATCGTCACACATGAAAGACGGAAACTCAGCAGAACGAAAAGTAATGCTAGCTCAGGTGCAGCTACACGTGATAACCATGGAGCCTGATGGGCGCAGCCAGGTCAAACCTACTCTGACGGACACTTGTGCACCCCATCCCATAATGTCATGTGTGTACCATGCGTGGCAGGGTACATGGCGTTGCAGCAGGGGGCGGAGATGGAGCGCATTAACAAGCAGTTGAGGCAGATCAACATGAGCCTCAAGAGGCAGGCCCGCTTGGACGCTCCCTCCCTCGCCTACTCCCCGCCTCCTCCTAGCGCTGCCTCGCCTGCAGCCAGCACCAGCAGCATGGCAGAGGCAGCAGCAGCTCCCGCTGCTGAAGCACTTGATGCAGCTAGGGCAACGGCTATGGCTGAAATGGCTCATGCTGCGAGTGATGAGAGGGCAGAGCTGATCCGCATGCTGAAAGAGGGCAAGAAGCACCTGCGGGATGGGCACCCAGGGTCCGCATTTGTGGAGTTTCATGTGGCTCTGAGCAAGGCAAAGGAGCTGGGAGATGCGGTTGAAGAGAAGAAAGCTGCCAGAGGACTTGGTAAGTGTGGTGACAACACCAGCATTCTCATATGTGCACGTTTTTCAAGATGGAAGGAAGCATGTGGTCACCTAACTCAAGGCCCTGCTTGAAATTTCCTGATTTCTCCTCTTTGTTCACATGCTGCTTCCTCCCCTGCAGGAGCCGCTTGTCAAAGGCAAGGGAAGTACAAGGAAGCCATTGGGTACCATCAACTGGTTTTGGAAAAGTCAATGGCAACGGGAGAGCATTCTGGTGACACAGAGGCATACGGTGCCATCGCCGACTGCTATACGGAGTTAAGGGACACAGAGAAAGCTGCTATATACTATGACAAATACATCAACCGCCTGGAGCAAGATAGTGATGAAGAATGAATCACTCCGCATTCTGATAGGATATGTTAGTGCATTTACGGGGGGGAAGGGGCTATCTGATTTTTCTTCCTTCACGTCATTTCAGTACCACAAATGGTACTGTTCAGTCTCCTGGTTGTTTCGACCGTTAACTATTAAATTCACCCATCAGCACCATTGCAAGCCCAGCCTTTACCTAGATCAATAATATGTAATATTTGCAAACAAATGACATGTGCCAGCGCACTAGCCTCACATTTCTACTTTCCATCTACCCCTTCATGGCTTCTGTTCTGACACAGTATTTTTACTACATCATTATGTCATGTGATGTGAGTGATGATGATTCATTATAGTTCCTCGCTTATAGTACGCGAGTCAAGCTGATTTCCCTTCCTGACATATGCGCCAACTGTACCCTGTGGACAGAGAATCGACGGTCTGAAGGGGAGCACGCAAAAGAATCAGCCAACGGCAGAATTTCTTCCGAGTCTCCGTCAGCGCGGTGTTGTCGCCTTCGATGCCTCTCGCCCGCGGAGGTTCGCGCAGCCTGCTATTCCGCCCTTCACTTCTCGCGCACGCAGCACCCCCTTTCCTCTTTGCTCTCTTCCTCACATCAGTGTTCGGATTAGTGCAGGTTCCGTCGAGTCGGCACCACGACATTTGCTTACGAAGGTTCTGTGAAATTTTAGTTCGCCATGCTTCCTGTTTCCGTGAAGATGTTACTAGGGAGAACACTCCGTCTCGAAGGCGCGGCCTATTATCCGAGCTAGAATTCCCCGAGCTAGAACCGACTATTGCTGTTTGCAAACGCCTTACGTCGTTTACACTTGTACACTAATTGTATTCACTTGGGACTCATAACTATGGGGGCTTGCTGCAGTAGACCCGCCAGTCATCGCAGCAAGCATAAAGGCGGCCCTTTCCCTTGTTTTCCAAACGGGGGTTCGTCCGAGATAGAGCCAGGTATGCGCGTCGCCATGCTCTCCCACACCGCTTTTCGCAACCCATAAGTCGAGCCTCCATGCGGCGTCGCTACAACCCAGTGTGCGTCTGCGAGTCAATCCGTGGTCCCTCTCCTGCACCCACGTCCCTGTTTCTCCCCCCACCCCCTCCCATCCACACCCCCTTCTCCCCGGTTCAGTGGCGAACATTTACGATGACAACGCGTCGAACGCGTCGTTCGCAAACGACCTGCGGCGCTTCTCGTATCGCGAGCTGCAGGCGGCCACGGGGCGGTTCCGGCGCGGCAACCTGCTGGGCGAGGGCAGCTTCGGCAAGGTGTACCGCGGCTCCGTGCCGGACTGGCTCGGCGAGCTGCCACGTGGACAGAAGCGCAAAGTGGCGATTAAAGTGCTCGATGCTGATAGCTTTCAGGGCTTCGGCGAGTGGATGGTGGGTCATGGGGATGGATGGTGGGTCATGGGGATGGATGGTGGGTCATGGGGATGGATGGTGGGTCATGGGGATGGATGGTGGGTCATGGGGATGGATGGTGGGTCATGGGGATGGATGGTGGGTCATGGGGATGGATGGTGGGTCATGGGGATGGATGGTGGGTCATGGGGATGGATGGTGGGTCATGGGGATGGATGGTGGGTCATGGGGATGGATGGTGGGCCGTGGGGATTTTTGGTGGGTCATGGGAATGAGGGGTGGTTCTCGGGCCATGCGGCGTGATCCACACGCGACAGCAGCGTGGCAGCCGTGCAGTAAACTCTGTGCACCCTACCCTCACCCTTCCTTTCCCTCCCATCCCATCCAACCCTCCCCTCTGCTTCGGTCCCACATCATCAGTCGGAGGTGCTACTGTTGGGCCGGCTGAGCCACCCCAACCTGGTGCGGCTGCTGGGCTACAGCACGGACAGGGAGGAGGCCATCCTTGTTTATGAGCTCCTCGAGAACGGCAGCCTCGACGCCTGGCTCTTCTCAGACGACTCCAGCAGCAGTTGTGTGCGGCGGGTGCTGACGTGGGAGGAGCGGGTGCGCATTGCACTGGATGCGACCATGGGGTTGGCGCACCTGCACGCGGAGAACATCATTCACCGCGACTTCAAGTCCTGCAACATCCTCCTCGACCACGTGCGTCCCCTTTCCCCCCCAAACACGCCCTCCCCCCTGCCCGCGCTCCATCCTCATCCCTAACCACTCGAGTTAGCGCACGCAAGTTGGATGTGTTTTGGGAATGCCGCACCCCATTTACACCAGATGTCTCACATGCGCTGCCCCTTTCCCTTCCGACGTTCTCCCTTTGGGTGCCTCGCAGGGCATGCGGGCGAAGCTGACGGACTTTGGCATGGCGACGGTGGGGCCGGAGGCGGGGCAGACGCACATATCAACGCGCGTGCTGGGCACCATGGGGTACCTCGACCCCAAGTACCTCGAGACAGGTGTGCGCCCAACCCACTGCATACAGCTGCCTGGATGGCCAAAAGAGCAATAGAGGCTCAACCTACGGCTTTCATGGCGTGACAGCTCACACAGACTGTGTTGTGCTGTGTGCACTTTCAACTCATCGCGCCACCCTTTGCTGTATCCCCACCCCTCACCACCACCAGGCCACCTGACGCCCAAGAGTGACATCTACGCGCTCGGGGTGGTTTACCTGGAGCTCCTCACTGGCCGCCCGCCCTCAGGCGACGACGACCAGGACGCCAATGGGGAGGGCGGCTTGACAGCCTGGATTCGGCCGCACATCTCAGTGCGCCGCCCAGATCTAGACATCATCTTGGACCCGCAGTTGAAGGACCAGTTCTCCCGCGTTGCTGCCCAGAAGCTTCTGGTTCTGGCCAAGCACTGCATCAGTGAGGACCCGGTGGCACGGCCACAGATCCAGGACCTGGTGAAGTCCATGCAACACATCGTTGCCATCGGGCACTCTCGATCCGACTCCAGTGGGTCGACCATGTCAGGTCACAGCAGATCAGCTTCCCTTGTCTCCGCCACATCCGGGGGACACAGCAGATCCGCTTCTGCTTCTTCAGCTTCCGCTAATGAGACCGCGGTGAGCAGCGTTGCAGACAGGAATGGTGGTAGAGACGCTAGTGGCCGGCGGAGTGGGGAAGGGCGGAACTCCTGGCGCTCGTTGTCATGCAGAGATGCCGGGGGAGGAAGTGACAGAGGCGCAGAGACTGGGATTGATGACGGGTCATATGTTAATGCTGGCAAGGTGGTGTTTCAAGATGCTGCTCCAAGGTGAAGCTAGTATTTGTATTAGTGCTTTCCATGTTCATTAATGTATAGCACTCGTATGCATTTATAAGGAATATATGCCCACGGCATGTAAATTTGATTTCTGTACCTTTGTTTCACCACCCTGGGAACTGTTTCTCCAGGGGCGGGAAATATCAGCGCCGGGCCACGCGCGTTCGCAGTCCATCCCGCCTTCACTGTGCGATGTGCAGTATTCGCTCACCGCCCTCTGCGCTCAGGTGCTGCTCAGCTGAGCTCCACGCGGGGAATCTCCGCGCAATCCGCATCGGGGAACACGAGCAGGCGAGATTCGCGAACCGTCCTTTCGTTACCCTCCCCCTTGCAGCGGGGCTGCCAGGCATCCCTCGCGATCCATTCACGGCTTGACTCGGCGTTCCACCAGCAGTCAATCCCTCATTCACTGCACTTCGCACGGCGCGTGTCAGCCACTAAAATTCCCACGTGGCCTTCTGGCGCTTCCTCCCCACTTTCTATACGAAAAAAACAATCATCTTTTAGGGAGAGCCGTATTCCATTGCGTATCCGTCCGCGAGGCATTGTGCGGGTTGCCGCATTAAAGCCCTACTACCGCCGTTGCTCGCGGCACTCCGTCGCTGCCGACCGTGGCTCCGCCATGACCCACGCAGATCTTGTTGCGCGCCAAGCGGCGATCGCTGACGCAAGGGATGATGCGGATCAGGCGGCGGGCGGAGCGGAGTTGGGGCAGGCAGCGGGTGATAGGGGCGGGGAGTGGGCGGCGATGGGGCTGGGGCTGGTGGAGGTGCATCTGGCCGCCAACGAGAGCCCCGCGTCGCGCGAAAAGCGCATTCGCGCGCTTTTTCAGACTTTCGACACCGAAAATAGAGGTGGGGCGACGCGGGAATAGCGATGGGATGAAATTGGAATAGCCGCTGATGAAATGCGCGCAGACTACTAGGGCGTAGTTGCACGGTTTTCAAGGTAAAACAGGGGGGTACAGATGGTGTAGCATGGTGGATTATCGCACCGCGCCGTGACATGGCAGCTTGATAACTCGGTAGCACAGCGCGCCGATCTCTGCGGGCCGTCATTCCGCGCCACTTGCAACTTGTCCGCCTCTTGCTGCCTCCCCTCCCCCCCGCCTTCCCCCCGGTGGCGCGTGGCAGGCGCGCTGACGCGGAGGCAGATAGAGAGGGGGTTGGCGCGCATGGGCGTGCCGGTGGACTACAAGTTCTCCAAAGACCTCCTCGCCGCCATCGACCAGGTGCGCGCTCGCCGCCATCCGCCAGGTGCGCGCTCGCCGCCATCCGCCAGGTGCGCGCTCGCCGCCGTCCGCCAGGTGCGCGCTCGCCGCCGTCCGCCAGGTGCGCGCTCGCCGCCGTCCGCCAGGTGCACGCTCGCCGCCGTCCGCCAGGTGCGCGCTCGCCGCCGTCCGCCAGGTGCGCGCTCGCCGCCGTCCGCCAGGTGCGCGCTCGCCGCCGTCCGCCAGGTGCACGCTCGCCGCCGTCCGCCAGGTGCGCGCTCGCCGCCGTCCGCCAGGTGCGCGCTCGCCGCCGTCCGCCAGGTGCTGGTAACATCCATTGCGCACTCCCTCCCAGCAACGGTGATGGGCGTGCACGGGCATTCATTTCGACCGATGGGCGAGTTCCGCCCGTCAATATTGCACTCACACCACACTGCGCGCCATGCTCCGCTCCCGCCCACTCTCTCCCTTCTTTCCCCCTCCCCTCCCCCGTCTTCCCCTGGCTGGGCACAGAACGGGGACGGCGTGTGTGACTATAACGAGTTCCATCGCTACATGGACAGCAAGGAGGTGCAGCTGTACCGCCTCTTCCAGCAGCTCGACACCGACTTCGATGGCGCCATCTCCTTGCACGAGCTCGCTGCCGCGCTGCACCATGCTGGTGAGTTCTGAGTCGACTCAGAAGACTTCGATCGATGGCGCCATCTCCCTGCACGAACTCGCTGCTGCTCTCCACCACGCCGGTAACCACCCACCCCTGCCGCTGCCCTCTCTCCGCCACACTCCTCGCGCTCTCATCTCTGTCGCTGCCCTCCCACACATGACTGCATGCTGCACCGCCCCCTCCCTCATGCCTCATTCCTCTCACTCGCACCCTTCCCATGCCCCACGCCTCCCACCCCCTCCCTTGGTGCACGGCAGGCATCGAGTGGAGGAGGGCGAGGTACAGGCGTTAATGAATCGCATGGAGCACAACCACGATGCCCCATGCCCAGACTGCTCCGCATGCCCATGCCTCTCCCCCCACACGCCATGCACGGCAGGCATACACCTGGCGGAGGGCGAGTTACAGGCGTTCATGGAGAAGATGGATCGCAACCACGATGGCGTGCTGTCCTTCAACGAGTGGCGTGACTTCCTGCTGCTCTTCCCCCACCGCGCCACCTCCATCGCCACCGCCTACCAGGTCCGTGCCTCTGTGCGTCTGTCCTCCGTGCGCCTGCTGCTGCCACCACCCTGCCGCCACCCTGCCTTTCCCCGTGCTTTCCCCGTGCTTTCCCCGTGCCCTCGCCGAACTCTCACCTCGTGGCCATGCACCTGCCGCTTCTGCCAATGCCCTCCCTGCCGCTTCTGCCAATGCCCTCCCTGCCGCTTCTGCCAATGCCCTCCCTGCCGCTTCTGCCAATGCCCTCCCTGCCGCTTCTGCCAATGCCCTCCCTGCCGCTTCTGCCAATGCCCTCCCTGCCGCTTCTGCCAATGCCCTCCCTGCCGCTTCTGCCAATGCCCTCCCTGCCGCTTCTGCCAATGCCCTCCCTGCCGCTTCTGCCAATGCCCTCCCTGCCGCTTCTGCCAATGCCCTCCCTGCCGCTTCTGCCAATGCCCTCCCTGCCGCTTCTGCCAATGCCCTCCCTGCCGCTTCTGCCAATGCCCTCCCTGCCGCTTCTGCCAATGCCCTCCCTGCCGCTTCTGCCAATGCCCTCCCTGCCGCTTCTGCCAATGCCCTCCCTGCCGCTTCTGCCAATGCCCTCCCTGCCGCTTCTGCCAATGCCCTCCCTGCCGCTTCTGCCAATGCCCTCCCTGCCGCTTCTGCCAATGCCCTCCCTGCCGCTTCTGCCAATGCCCTCCCTGCCGCTTCTGCCAATGCCCTCCCTGCCGCTTCTGCCAATGCCCTCCCTGCCGCTTCTGCCAATGCCCTCCCTGCCGCTTCTGCCAATGCCCTCCCTGCCGCTTCTGCCAATGCCCTCCCTGCCGCTTCTGCCAATGCCCTCCCTGCCGCTTCTGCCAATGCCCTCCCTGCCGCTTCTGCCAATGCCCTCCCTGCCGCTTCTGCCAATGCCCTCCCTGCCGCTTCTGCCAATGCCCTCCCTGCCGCTTCTGCCAATGCCCTCCCCCTCTACTCTCCACTTTTCTGCGCCCCTCGCCCTTCGCGTTTTCCTCCCCAACCTCCCCCCCCACTCCTTCCCTCCCCCCCACTTTTTCTGTCACAGTACTGGGAGCGAGTGCAGCAGGTGGACATAGGCGAGCAGCCAGTCATCCCCTCAGGCCTCTCTGCATCACTCTCCACCGCTCCCGACGCCTCCGCCCTGGCGTGGCGCTACTTCCTGGCGGGCGGCGTGGCGGGTGCCGTGTCGCGCACGGCCACGGCGCCTCTGGACCGCCTCAAGGTGCTGCTGCAGTGCGCCAAGGCCGGTAGTACACACGCGCACCCCGCTGCTGGCGCTGCCGCTTCTGCTGGTGCCGGTGCTGTTGCTGCTGCTAGAGCTGGTGCTGCTGGTGCTGGTGCGGTGGCGGCCGCTGCCACACGGGCTGTTGGCGCGAGTGGTGCAGCAGGGAGGGCTGTGCATGCAGCAGCAGGGGGGGCACAGGCAGGTGGCACCCGAGGGACAGTGGCAGCAGTGTCAACAGCAACAGGGGGAGCAACGGAGGGAGCAGCAAGGGCAGCCGTGGGAGGAAGGCTGTCCAGCGCCGCTGTTCCTGATGCTGGCACCAGTGCCGCACCACGCCTACCAACAACCTCACCACCACCACACCCACCACCACCACCGCAATCAGCAGCAGCACCTCAGTCGCCTGTCCGAGCCTCTCACCACCCCCCACCCCCATCCCGTGCCACTCCTCCTTCCCCTTCCGCCTCCTCCCCCGCCCCACACCACCCTCGCCCACACCATTCGCGCTGGCAGTTCTCTCTCCTCCGCACCGCCTCCCCCTCAGCCCCGTCTTTCTCGCTCTCACCCTCTACACAAGCACCACCTCGCCTGCCGCCCGGCATGCCGCTCTGGTGGCAGAACATGCAGCCTGGCCGGCAGGCCACAATCGCCGGGCGGCAGCAGGTGGTGGGCGGGCGGCTGACGCTGTGGAGGGCGGTGCAGCAGGTGTACGGGGAGGGCGGCGTGGGGGCGTTCTTCAAGGGCAACGGCATCAACGTCGTCAAGGTGGCGCCCGAGTCAGCCATCAAGTTCTACGCCTACGAGCTCCTCAAACGCGCCATCTCCCCCCCTGCTGCTGCTGGGGGTGCTGGTGCTGGTGAGGTGAGCCCAGCTACATAATGAGATTCTCCACCCGTGCATTTAACTCCGCCCCTCCCTGTTTCCACCTCCACCTGTGCACTCTCACTTGATTGCAGTGACCATGCACACGTGCGCATTCAACCGTTTCCACACCCCCCTGATCGCACTCTCTCCACGCGTGTGGGCAGAAGTCGGGGGAGACGGCGGTGACGCGGCTGGTGGCGGGGGGAATGGCGGGCGCCGTGGCACAGACCGCCGTGTACCCACTTGACCTCGTCAAAACGCGCCTGCAGACCTACCACCTCACATACGGCCGAAACCCGCCGCCCCTCGCCGCCCTGACGGCGGAGATCCTGCAGAGGGAGGGGGCGGGCGCCATGTTCCGCGGGCTGCTGCCGTCCATCCTGGGCATGATCCCGTTCGCTGGCATCGACCTTGCGGCGTATGAGACGCTGCGAGACGCCTTCACCCCATGGATCGAACGCCGGCCTGGTGAGTGCACACACTCATGGCCCGACATGACATGGCACTGCATTTGCTGCCTTCACTACTGCTGTGTGCAACGTGCTGCCCTACCTGCCAATCCCTCTGCCCCCACCTGTCTCGTGCTGTGTGTGTGCCCCCTGTGTGCTGGTCAGAGGTGGCGCCGGTGCTGCAGCTGGCGTGTGGAACGGTGTCAGCCACGGTGGCCGCCACCCTCGTCTTCCCCCTGCAGGTCATCCGCACCCGGTGAGACCCTCCTTCCACACCACACATGCCCTGCCCCTCCCCTCGCGCCTTCACACAATGATCCCACTGCTTCACGTGGACGTGTGTCAAACTACTATACTAGTTGCCAGTATTTCTCTTGTCAAACCAGACCACCGCCCTCTTGGCCCCATGTGTGGCAGGCTGCAAGCACACGTCAGCGCACCGCCCGCACCAAGCAGCGCATTGGGTTTTGCAGCAGGAGCAGCAGCGCCAGCAGCAGCATTGTCAGCCATGGGCGTAGCACGCAGGGGGCCAACGATGGGGGAGGTGACACGGGAGCTGTGGCAGGAGGGGGGCGTGCATGCCTTCTTCCGAGGTGTGGTGCCGAACCTGCTCAAGGTGGTGCCTGCTGCCAGCATCACGTACGTCACGTATGAGCACATGAAGAAAGTGCTCGCACTTAATTAGAGGATTGGGATATACCCGTAGCTGTAAATTATGTTATAAGATTCGCTAGCACACTCGTCGCATATCATGGTGTGGGTGGACAGATCACAAATCAGCTGGCTATGTACCCACCCTCAAAGCGAAATGTTGCATATAGCATGTGGGTTCTTGGGTTGTTGAAGCTTATTGTACATGAGGTAGCAGACATGCTGAGGGCTGGCAGACATGCTGAGGGCTGGCTGGCACTCCGTGGCTCTCTGTACTGTGTAACGGCATGCCAGTGACCTTCAGCGGGCAATCAACTCCCTTCTTCCCTGCTCACCTTCTGACACCGTTATGCACACGTGCAGTGTCTTACCGGCTGGTGGCTCGTCTGCTGCCATTCACTTGACAACGCCCAGGCGAAGTTGGAGTGGACAACAAGGCCCTCCAAGAACGTGATGCCCGACACATGTTGCAGTCATGTTGTAGCCACACTTGTTCATTCCACCACCATAGCTTATGCATATAAAAACTGTTATGGGCTTACGGTCTTAAGGTAGTAGATGAGAGTAAGAGGGGCTACGTTGGAAGGACTGGCTTTATTACTGATAATGCAGGTCATGCACGTAAGAGGGCAAAGCACAGCTGAACCAAAACCACTACTCTTGGCAGAGGCAGGCCACAACACATGGCGCCATGCCCTCCAATCGCTCCCGCTGCGTCGGCATTCTACCCATCCGCTAACTCAAATCCAGCCGACGGAAAAAGCTAGCGCTAGCGGCGGCGTGGAGCGGGGCTACTGGGAGACGAGCTCGGGGTAGTAGAAGTAGACGATGCGGCCGTTGATTGGCTGCGGCACGCGGTTGTCGGTGCGCTCGCCGTTATTGGTAACCGCCATCATGTTCATGAACTGAATGGTCTGTGCGACGGAGAGCGACTGCGACTTGCGAAGCACGTGCCACTGCACGATCTCGTCGCACTCGGGCGTGGTGAGCGACCCGGGGTACGTCCAGAAGCCCATGGACGGTGCGAGCATCGCCGTCCAGAAGTCCGCGCTCACGGGGACAGTCACGTTCGCGCCGTTCGCCGCGGGCGCGCGGTCCAGCCACCTGCGGAGGCGCGGAGGGAGATTCGGGATCAGACAGCGTGATACATGAAGCGAGCTAATAATTAATCCCCTGTTCTCTTGCAAAATGTGGCGCTTTAGTTCTATGAGGTGGTATCCCGGGGAATTAACAGAGCTCCAAGCAAGCAGCGGGGAGGGGAACTCACTGGGTGATCCAGGTGGAGTTGGCGTCGTCGCGGTGGAGGCGCAGCATGACGCCGACGACGGCGAGCTTCTTGGGATCATCGACGTGCACGTGCACGAAGTGCGCCTCCATGGGCGCGAACAGCCCGTTCACCGTGTGCTCCGACATGGCGTGCACGTGCATCTGCAGCAGCGAGTAAGTGCCCGACGACAGGTGCAGCAGGTGCGACTCCGTGGCCGCCGGCACCACCTCTGCACGGAACGGGAGAGCGGGAGGAAAACGTACACGAAGCGTGAGGCAATGCCGCCAAGTTGCCACGAGGAACAGAAACAGACCAAAAAACAGAAAACGAAGTGAACGGATGAGCAGTGCAATGAGGTCGCGAGAGGGAACGCACGGATGGTGGAGCCCTTGTTGAGGACGGCGACGGAGGCGGCCTTGGAGTAGTTGAGGTGGAAGAGCTCCTTGGACGCGCCCAGCACTGCCTCGTCCATCACGATGTTGATCGGCGACTGCCGCTCTCCCGACGCGCACGCGCCCTGCGCAATGTTAGAAGTTGCAAACGCGAGGTTGAACATTGCTGAGATTTCCGCATTTGCTCACGTTTGTTGGTCAGGAACTTAGAAAACGCTGCGAACTACATGTGCAGAGGCGCGCAATGATGGGGGCGTGGATTTTACCGTCCAGTCAGTGCCGCTCTTGTCGTAAGAGAAGGGCACGGCGGCGCCATTTGCAAGGGCGACGACGCCGAGGATGAGGGCGACGAAGATCAGAGTGCGAGCCATGGCGGGAGATGGGATCGTCGCGAAAAACGTGCAGGTAGACGAGGGGCTTTGAGGTTGGTTGGTATGCAAAATTAACTGAATTGTGATCTTCGGGAATGCCGGAGAACTTTATTTGTGTGCGAGATGTGGGCCGTGGCGTGAATTTGCATATGAAACACTAGTGCATGTGGTGGATGGATGGATTTCACGATTCGCGATTCGTGCTTTGGTGCATCCTCCCATCCCCAGGTACGGCGCGACCCGAGCGGGGTTGCATCTGGGAAGAGATTCTGGCTCAGAAAGAATTGACCCGATGTTGGGCCAGGGGGGTAGGAGGGGGAAGGATGGCTCCAATCCAACCAAGGACGTGAGAGGTTGAGTGGCTGGGAGAAAGAGCTGATGTCAGCAGTGGTGCGGTTGAACCTGGTGGAGCTTGCAATTTGCGGTGGAGGATGATAGGGTGAGTCCTCGTCGAGGACATAAAGTCCTCGTCGAGGACATAAACGTACCTGGTGTGATTGGAAAGACAGGAGAGGGGAACAGCTCTGTTTCCGAGTTTACTCGAAGGGTGTTACATTACCTTTCAGGTGCTTGTATTGAATGGAGAGATCCAAGAAACTAGGAATTGAAACTGAGAAGCTGTTGTGTCTACTTCTGTAACAATAGAAATACCTTAGTTGTTTCATCTGTCCAATTATTGGCATGCGATGAAAATGATGCTTCTGTTACTTCCCTCATGATTGAATTAGGTGAATACGTGAAGTATAGAAACCAGCGAATCAGGGGTGTTACGATATGAAGATTTATGAGTAAGGCATTCCTGTATGCTGCAGGAGCCAACTCTACCGAGTACGAAGTCGAGAAGTCAGAAGAGTCGAAGCGACACAGCAACCGTCAGACCAAGACCGATGCAGGCAGAAACATTTGAAATGAAAAGAGCGGGAACAGGTTCAAAACGGGTTCCCGCGCCGCACGGTTTGAATTTGCTGTAATACGGTAAGTATTGTACCCCTTAGAGTATGCTGCGATCAGAAGTTGATCGTGGCCTAGGATCTACTCAGGAAGGTTCGCACGCAGAGAAGTGATGTTGGTGGGCCCTTGACCTCAATAGCAGAGTGAATGTAAAATGCTTTGAGATGAATTAAAACATGCAAATACAGCAAATATAAATATGAGTACAGGGGAGATGAAACGACCTAGCTAGCCATGTACTCTAAGGGGTACATTCCCTTATTCAAATACATTCCCAACCGTGCGGCGCGAACAGTTACGAAACTGTTGTCAGATTTATATGACATAGTGTCAAATATTATAGCTTGTAGTGGGTTGGGCTATATAGGGTACAACTAGTTATGGTTAGGTGATGTACCCCAATCCTGTCAACACAACGCATTCCGCTGTAGTTCTCATTCTGACATGGTATCAGCAGTAGGTTAGCGCTCCTAGTCCTAGGCCCGCCCTTCCCTACCACTAGGGTTACCACTGCACCCTGCCAGCCCGCCAGCGCCCCTCCCCTCCCCGCCCTTAGCCAGCGCGCCCGCCAGCCAGCCAGCGCGCCAGCAGCCTGCGCGCCAGCCAGCCAGCCAGCGCGCCAGCCGGCCAGCGCGCCAGCAGCCTGCGCGCCAGCCAACCAACGCGCCAGCCCGCCAGCGCGCCAGCCAGCCAGCGCGCCAGCCCGCCAGCGCGCCAGCCAGCCAGCGCGCCAGCCAGCCAGCGCACCAGCGCGCCAGCCAGCCTGCGCGCCAGCCCGCTTGCACGCCAGCCCGCCAGCGCGCCCGCCAGCGGGCGCACCAGCGAGCCCGCCGGCTCGCCTGCCAGCGCGCCCGCCAGCGAGCTCGCCAGCGCGCCCGCCAGCACGCACGCCAGCGCGCCCGCTAGCGCGCCCGCCAGCGCGCCACGCCAGCGGGCCCCGCCAGCGCGCACGCCAGCGCGCCGCGCCCGCCGGCGCGCGCCCTGCTTAGCCGCCCGCCAGCGCGCCGCGCCCGCGCGCCACGCCAGCCAGCGCGCCGCGCCGGAGCGCGCCCCGCCGCCCCGCGCCCAGCCAGTGCGCACCCCGCCTGCGCGCACCCGCCTCGCACTCACCTCCCTCTCCTCCTCCTCTCGCGGCTGGCGGCCGCTATCACTTGTCCTCGCCCCTCATGGCGACGTCTCGCGTGCTCCGTTTCGACCCTGAGGGGCGTGCGATCGACTTTAGTACCTGGCTGACGCAGGCCCAGCGCCACCTTAGGAGCCAGCGCCAGGATGGCGTGCACCTGTTTGCGCATGCGTCCGGTGCTCTGGCCGCCCCGTCGCAGCCTTCACCGCTGCCCACTACCCCACCGCCTACTTCCGAGCAGGAGGCTGAGTACCAGCGCCGGTTCCTCGCTCGTGACGTGTGGGAGTCTCGTGACGCTGCTGCCTGCCTCGCCCTGACCGACCTTCTCCCACCGACTGAGGCTGTCCACTTCACTCAGGTCGAGTCTGCTGCAGACCTTTACACTGCTATTGTTGCTCGCTACTCCACTCCCTCCTCTCCCTCCCTCAGCCGCCTCCTCGTCCCCTTTATCTACCCTGACCTCGCCTCCTTTGAGACTGTTGCTGACCTCGCTACCCACCTGCGCTCCCTTGAAGCTCGCTTCAAGGCCGCTTGCACTGAGGAACAGCTTGCCCTTGCACCCCCCCCCATGTGGCTCACTATTCACTGGTTAGTCACTCGCCTCCCTGACCGTCTAGCCACAGCCCGCGACGCGCTTCTCCTGAAGCACCCCACTGAGCTTACTATCGATCTTCTTGAGACCGCTCTCTCGAAGATCGAGAGTAACCTCCTCGCTGTTGCCTCCGCCTCTTCCGCGCCTCCTCCTCGTCTCTTTGAGGGGTGTGCGGTACCACAGCTTCCCACCTTCACTGCCTCGCTTGCCACTGCCGCGTCTTCTGCCTCTAAGGAGACAGCGGCCGTTTCTGTCTCTGGCGGACAGAAACGTGGCAAGTCCGGCAAGAAGGGAGGGAAGGGCGGCGGGGGTTCTGGGGGTGTTGCGGGTGGCGGCGG